CAGCTTGTTTCGCTCACTTTGAAGACCCTAGACCACACTATCTTACAAAATGTATAAATATCTGTTTTAGAAATATCTTAATTCTCTTGTTTATTTATTTGATTTTTTTGTCTATTTATTTTATTGATCTTTTCTTATATTTAATTTAATGCATTGTTTGTTTTATAGTATTATTCATTGTAACTTAGCTTTTATTGTTTAAATTTCCTTTTTTTAGTTTATTTTTAGGGATTTGTTGTTTTTTTCCTTTATTCTCAGTAAGTTACCAGCATGGGACGGATCACCAGTACATCTCATTTAAATAGAATAAATCGTATTGGTATAAATTGGTATTAAAAAAAAACTTTTTTTAAATTTTTTTTATTATAATTATTTTTTTGCTTAATTTAATTTAATTCATTTTGAGGTCTGAGGGTGTGGCGCAGTGAGCAGGTCTGACCAGCAGGGGGCGCTGCTGCATCGCAGAGAAAACCCACCCCAGGAAAGACAAAGAAAAGAGAGGAACTCATTTACTGTTTTATTCTAGTTTGTTTGTAATGTCGTTGGTTTTTTGTAATAAATCCTAAAGAGTTCATTCATTAGACGAGTTTTATATGAACTCTGCAGTGTTTCTGCTGCGTTTACCTTCAAGTAAATGTTGATTTTATTGGTAAAAACAACAAATCTAGCTATTTTTCTCCAAAGTTAAACCCTAGTGTGGCATAACCCATGATGATATTAAAACATTTAACATTTATTGTTAGTTATTTTTGTATTTTTTCCTCAAAAACTTCAGCAAAGAGCAAAAATCCTGATAATTATTCTAGATTTTACAGTTCTGATCAGAGCTGATTAAAAGATTTAACAAAAACAAAAGACAAAACTTATAAAGCTGGACTGTCTACGGTGAGTTTATGGACACATAAATCTGAAGCTGCTCAAACTCTGAAAATTCACATTTCCATGGAAACATGAAAAAGAAAAACATTAAAATATCTGCTTATGAAGGATAGCTCATTTAATTAATAAATAACACTGAGATTAAGTGAGCAAACACATTAACTACCAGTTGAATCAACATTCATATTATGAATCATAAGTTTTATAATAGAAACAGTACAGCTCAATAGAGGCCAAAAACAGTCAATTAAAGCTGATTTCTCCTTTAATATGACATAATATCATCTATAAGCTTCATAATAAAAAACAGTACAGCTCAATAGAGGCGAAAAACAGTAAATTAAAGGTGATTTCTCCCTTTATATGACATAATATAATTTATAGGATTCATAATTGAAACATTAGAGCTCAATAGAGGCCAATTACAGTACATTAAGGGTGATTTCTCCCTTAATATGACATAATATAATTTATAAGCCTAATAATAAAAAAAGTAGAGCTCACAGGACAGCTTTAAAGCACATTGAATTGCCTCTTGGTGTGAAATGCTCTTTATAAATGCTTTTCCACTTTCCTTTTCATTCCTAATCCTCGACTTGGTGAAATTCCTTCTCCAGTTTTCCGCCGGGACTCGTTTAGCATGAGCTAAAGCCCATTTAAAAGTCATGATGAGGCGGTTTTTGCTCCCTGAGACTCCAAAAATGGCCACAGTCAAAAAAAGTGGAGTTAAAAATATGGCCGCCGACCGGTCTGGAAGTCCTGACCTTTGACCCCGGGCCTGTTTGCGTCCCTATAGCCGATATTTTGCCTTCGGGGGGGCTGATCGGGGCGTGGAGCGGACTGGAGTCTGAGGAACACGTCTGGGTTCAGAAAGCAGGGTTAGGTTGATGGTTTCTGAACACTTAGTCCTTGTTGAACAAAATCATAATTACTTAACTCATTTTCAGAACAGAGTCCCATACTGCCAGAGTTTTTTGAGCATTTTGACTGATTTTTCCAGAGCCACAGAATAGTTTGTGCTATGACTATGTAAACACCGAACACACCAAAAGAAAGAGTAGACTCTCTTCTTTCATCAGGAAAAAAGATTTTGTTTCTACCTTATTCCGTTCTTCTTCGACGTGCGTCTCACCGGCGCCATTTCTCTCATAGCGAACCATTGCGTTTGTTTTTATTTGCCTACAGTCTATGCTAATCTCCCATCAAAAGTGGCACTGCCCCCTAGAGGGTAAATTTGTTACTACATACTCTGTCTAGAAGCCGATATTTACGGAAAAACTTTCGCCGATCGTCCCCCAAGCCACTCGCATTGAAAAACATAAAAGACGTCTATAGACGTCTTTGGCAGCCAATGAGTTAACAAGGCGGGCACGAGGTGGAGACTTTAAACTCCCTCGACCCAGAACAAACTCTCTAAAATCCACAGTGCATTATAGAGCCATATTTCACTGGAACCAATAACCACAGGAAGAGTTCAGAACAGAACAAGCTTAAAAATTATTGTGTCTTCAGAACTACTGCAAATGATAACATGAACTGACCTGTGTATATATGTTGTATATTTCTACTCGTTTATGTTTTTATTATTTCCTACTGTGATTTTTATTTTTCATGATCTGTTTATAATGTAATATAATTTCTTCATGTGAGGACCCCAGGAAGACTAGTGGCCATTTATTTGGCAGCTAATGGGGATCCTAATAAAACTAAACTAAACTAAACTAAAGTTACTCAGGAGAAACTAAAAGCTAGCTAAATGTGAGACATTGACTAAAAAATTCCTAAATATAACAAAATATTTGCTCCATAACTTCAGTCAGTAAGCTAGATGTTGGCTTTAAGTTAGCTTAATGTTGCCTAAAGCATTGCTAAATATTAGCTATGTGTTTGCTTAATGGGGGCTAAAAATAGCTAAATATAAGCTATATATTCACGTAGTGGGGGCTAGAACATGGCTAATTATTGGCTATAATTAGTTTAATTTGGGTTAAAACATGGCTAAACATTGGCTATAAGTTAGCTTAATGTGGGCTAAAACATGGCTATATATTGGCTATAAGTTAGCTTAATGTGGGTTAAAACATGGCTAATTATTGGCTATAAATGAGCTTATTGTTGGCTAAAACATAGTTAAATATTAACTATGTGTTAGCTAATTCTTGGCTAAATATTGGCAATAGGTTAGCTTAATGTGGGCTAAAACAAAGCTAACTATTGACAATAAGTTAGCTTAATGTGGGCTAAAACAAAGCTAAATATTAGCTATGT